TATGATGAAGACGATGATGATTGAGAACAAAATTACACTGAGGAAGAAATGAAAAAGAAGAAATGGAGAAAAAGAGATGGAGAGGAAGAGAGAGAATGAGTAAAAAAAGGAAGAGAATGCTTGCGAACGTTTTATTGTATAATTTTCCGGAGGAAATTTAATTTTTCTGCCTGTTCGTTCTGCGCCATATTGCTCTTTATTCAATTTTTTTATGCGCGCATTAATTTTTCATTTAATTCATTAATGTAGCGTGCAATTTATTTCTTGGATTATTTAATTTTACAGCGCTTATTTTTTTTTTAATAAAATTTATATCCTCCCAATCTTTTGCCACATCCAAGGAGCTGAATCATGAAAACTTTTTGACAACGAAATTATTCATAAATATCGAACATATTTAGTTATTTTTATGTATATATTTATATTTAAATAGATGTGTTAATGTGTGCGTGAGTGTCTGTGGCCTGTATGTGTGCGTGTCTGTGGCATGTATGTGTGCGTGTCTGTGGCCTGTATGTGTGCGTGTCTGTGGCCTGTATGTGTGCGCGTCTGTGGCCTGTATGTAATGTATAATGTGATTATCTGCTAGCGCTCATGTCCTCAGAATGACTGGGCAAAACCATTCACGCATTTATACTCTTTCATTATTTAATACAGTATGTTGCTGTTGTTGTTGTTGATGATGTTGTTGCTGTTGTTGATGATGATGTTGTTGGTGGTGATGATGATGATGTTGTTGTTGTTGATGATGATGATGTTGTTGTTGTTGTTGATGATGATGATGTTGTTGTTGTTGAGGAGGATGATGATGTTGTTGATGGTGGTGGTGATGATGATGGCGGTGATGATGATGGTGGTGATGAGGTTTTTTTAGTTTTTTTTATGAGTTTTTTTTTGTTACCGTTTATTTGTTCGTTACCATTTTATTTTAATTTTTTCATTCGTCCAAAATTTTTAATTCGCATATTCCTTCATTCATTCATCATTCCTTCAAATTTTTCAATCGGATCACCTGTCGTGATTTAAGGCGGGAATGTTTGGGAATTCATTGAAATTTTATTTTTTCGAAAGTTTTTTACATAATGTGTGTGCGTGTGTAAATTTTACGTGTGTATGTATGTATGTATGTATGTATGTATGTATGTATGTATATATGTATGTATATGTGTGTGTGCGTGCGTGTGTATGTGCGTGTGTGTGTATGTGCGTGTGTGTGTGTGTGTCAATTTGTGTATGTGCGGTCTTTGTGACAATTGCTATCGCGAAAAAATTTATCAAAAATGATTTAGCTTTCGAACAAAGATGAAATGTTTTAAAATTTCAAGCAAAGACATGAAATGTTTCAACCTTGATAAAAATTTGTGAAAAAAAAAGTTAAATAATTTTGAAGAGGAAATAATTTGAAAAGATAATAAAAAAAATTATGGAAAGAACTTAAAATTTCACCCAAAGATTTAAAATTTCAACCAAAAAAATAAATGTAAAACATCTAGACAAAGAGTAAAAATTGTGTGACGACAAAGATATAACAATGTAACGTTTTCTCAATAACAAACAGCAACTGAAGATAACAAAAATGACGCCTGTAAATCTCAAATATCGTTCTCTCCCGTCGACAGGATGAGCAAAGATATACAGGTTTGTATGTATGTTTGTATGTATGTATGTATGTATGTATGTATGCATGTATGTATGTATGTATGTATGTATGTATGTATGTATGTATGTATTATTATTATTATTATTAATTGAAAATTTATAAATCGCTTTTTAATAAAATCTCAAAAGCGCCTACAATAAGTGCAAGAAAAAATAAATAAGACAAAAGAAAGAAAGTTGATTGTCACTCAGTTAAATGTCAGAACACACATATATTTAACACAAAATCAATAAATAAATAGATGACCAAAAAGAAGTAATAATAATTCAAATGACGATTTTTAGGATTTATCCACACAAGTTACTAGTTACGTACAAAAATTCAACGCAATGATCAACAAGCCTCGCAACGAATTATTAACCGACACAAGAATTAAAACAACATAATGATAGCACCGTACCGACTAATAAGAACATAAAAAATAAAAAAAAAAAATAAATTTAATTTTTATAATCACATTTAATTACAAGAACCGAAATGCTGCTTAAAAAGCAGCAACTTTAATTGTTTACAAAACAGAGGAAATGATATTCCAGGTAGACGGAGTGAGGTTGGCAAATTATTCCACATGTATGTATGTATGCATGAATGTATGTTTGTTTGTTTGTTTGTATGTATGTATGTATGTATGATTGTTTGTTTGTATGTATGTATGTGTGCTTGTATCCTAGATATTCCATGCGTATTTATAAGACAATTTATGCGTAAATCTGCATGATATGTTTTTTTTATAATTTATGCATAATCTATACACGTTCTAGGCCTAATTATGAGATAATTTATGCATAATTTTGTGTAGTCGGTAGGAACAGCAGCGTCAACAGCAGCAAACGAAGCGGCAGACGATGCAGACGACATAGAAAAATTATTTGAGTCCTACAACAACGAGAAACAAAGACAAAACAACGAAAAAATGCAGAAAAAACAAAGTAAACAACAACAACAACAACAACAAATTAATCTAGTCACCACAAAGCCGTGTTCAGTAAGATGTTGTTGTTTTCTTTTGTTATCTCTGGTTTGTTTGCCTTGTTGCCTTTGGCTCGTTATCTTTTTGTTTTGTTTTTTTACTTCTTTGTTTTTGTTTCTTTATTTATCTTTCTTTGTTTTTGTTTCTTTGTTATTTTTTCTTTGGACTCGTGGGACCAATCAGAAACGTTGCTGATGTCAATCTGGCTGACGGTTAAAATAGTTGTTAATCATTTTATATGACTAATCAATCAACGAGTTCATCACAAGTTTGTGTGTGTGTGTCTGTTTGTGTGTGTGTGTCCCTTTCTCTCCCTTTCTGTGTGTGTGCGCGTGCGTGTGTTCTTCCACTCCTTTTGTTCATTTATTCTTTTCATTCCTTCTCATTCATTCTTTCACACGTTTCGCCCTTAAAATTTTTATTTAATTTTTATTTCCTTTTTTCTTATTTATTCATTTACTCATTTATTCATCCATTTACACTTTCATTCATTTTTCAATTCCTTCATTCATGCATTCATTTATTCATCCATCCATTCATTCAACCATTCTTTCGTTTGCCTCAACGAATAAATCAAATGTGACTATACATTTATCTTCATCATAAAAACTTTGGTCACCAGTAAAATCCGCGCACACCACACGCACGCACACACACACGACACATACTACACAGAACAGCAAAGACAGCTTAGGAAGCTGCTATAGCAGCGCCGGTGAGGAACACGTCGGCAAAATAACAATTTCTGGCGACATACAATTTGGCCTGAATTTCGATTACAAGAGTAACTGTTTCTCGGTTGTCATCAAGCAGTGCCGCGGTCTGGCCACAGCTGATGTCAAGAAACAAAGATCTGATCCGTATGTTTGTTTGTTTGTTTGTTTGTTCGTTCGTTCGTTCGTTCGGTTGTTGGTTTGTTGTGTTTGTTGGCGTTGTATTTTTTTTTAAAGTTGGTTGTAAAAGCTAAAAAACATAAAAATTTAAAATTCTCTCGAACAATGAAATTCTCCACATCATCATCATCATCATCCCTATCATCATCATCATCACCATTATCATCCCCATCATCATCATCATCCCTATCATCATCATCACCATTATCATCATCATCATCATCACCACCATTATCCTCATCATCCTCATCATCATCATCATCACGACAGCTACGTAAAGTCTTA